GAGAGAGAGTGTGTGTGTGTGTGTGAGAGAGAGAGAGAGAGTGTGTGTGTGTGTGAGAGAGAGTGTATGTTTACTCAAGCGCACACACACTCTTTCAGTGGGGAAATTTCCTGCGCTGGAAGCCGCTCTCATCCTGAGGAATTTCCTGTGTGGGCAGACAGCACTTCCTGCAGGCCGTGTTTTGCTGCTGCGCTCTGAAAGGGAAACTGTTCTCATGCCAGCGTCTCTTCCTGTTCCCAACCGTCTTCACACTCAGCCCAGTGTTCGCTCGCAGTCGCTCTCGTGTGTTTGCTGTGTGTGGATCGCTCGTGTGTTTGACATGTAACACGATCTGCTGGGATTTCTGTGTTTCCTCGTTTGTCTGTGTCCTGCTCCGGTTTAATGATTAAAGCTCGTTATGAAAGAGCCGCTTGACTTCTGTAATGTGAGCCGGTGTTTCTGAGATTGAGTGCGTTTATTAGCACCACAGGACTTGATTTTCTCCAGAATGAACTGATGAATGAGAAGGATTGATGATGTCAGATGAAGACGAATGTGGTTTCAGAGGTGAAGTGATATATACTTATATTTACTGATGTGTATTTTTATTTAATATTTATATTTAATACTTTTAATTTAGTTTTTAATTGTTTATAAATAATAAATATAAAGCTAATAAAAATCAAATAATTATATTAACTTGAATATATTATTTTATATATTTTTTTTATTTTGTGTGTATATATATGTATATAATTAAAAGGAAAGTGGTTTCAGAGATCAAATGAGTTTTATGTTCTGATGAAAGGTTATGAAGACCATCATTGATTTCTGTAAACTAAGATCAATTAAGTTTGAGTTTTGATTTCATGTTGACTGTAATGTTCATCTGTTCCTCTTCTGCTGCTGTTTATAGTCCTCCGCATCACTGCAGAGCGCCTGTTTCTGACTTCCTGTGTGTGTTTGTGTGAGAGTGTGTGTGTGTGTGTGTGACTTCCTGTCGGGGTGCGTTGTGGGAAGTCAAGCTGGCGTTGTCATGGGTAACGGTCTCTGTGGGAGCAGATGCTCAGCTTCAGTGACCCTCACATGACCTTTGACCTTAAGTTCAGATCTGCAGACATGAGTGTGTTTATCCTGTCCACATGTCATAGCGTTTGTGCATTTATACTAAATGTATTTAGACTACTGTTTTTCATACAAATTGGCTACCTAAACCATACAGTTGCATGTTTACCACAGTATTGAGGTGCTATATGTGCGGTTTTAACGCTGGTTATCATGATGTAAATGTATGCTACTATGGAAGAACAATGGTTAATTTTAAGGAAACTCAAACAGTCAGAAAAATGAAATTTCACCATACAAAAGAGGAGATTGTTACAATTTTTACAGGTGTTTCTGATTTTGGTAATGAACATAAATTTACATCTGCATCCTAACTCAAACTACTACTACTGTCAACTCAATGTCAAATGTGCATTTCTGAGAGACAAAAAATTATATTATTATTGAATATATATATATATACATACAGTGCAGTGAAAAGGTGTTTGCCCCCTTCCTGTTTTTTTAATGTTTTGCATGTTTGTCACACTTAAATGATTCAGATCATCAAACTAATTTTAATAATACACAAAGATAACCCGACTAAATACAAAATGCAGTTTTTAAATAATGATTTTATTTATTATGGGAAAAAAGCTGTCCAAACCTGCCTAGCCCTGTGTGAAAAAGTAATTGCCCCCTAAATCTAATAACTGTTTGTGCAGCAACAACTGCAATCAAGCGTCTGTGATAACTGGCAATGAGTCTTTCACATCGCTGTGGAGGAATGCTGGTCCCACTCTTCTTTGCAGGATTGTTTTAATTCAGCCACATTGGAGGGTTTTCCAGCATGAATGGACTGTTTAAGGTCATGCCACAGCATCTCAATTGGATTTAAGTCCGGACTTTGACTTGGTCGCTTGAGGCATTCAGAGGTGGACTTGCTGGTGTGTTTGGGATCATTGTCCTGCTGCAGAACCCAAGTGCGCTTGAGGTCACAAACCGACGGCTGGATATTCTCCTTCGGGATTTACTGATAGAGCGCAGAATTCATGGTTTCATCAATTATGGAAGTCATCCAGATCCTGAAGCTGCAAAGCAGCCCCAGACCATCACACTACCTCCACCATGTTTGACTGTTGCTATGATGTTCTTTTGATCAAATGCTGTGCTGGTTTTATGCCAGATGTAACGGGACACACACCTTCCAGAATATTTGCCCAAAAGTCTTGGGGATAATCAAGACATTTTTGGGCAAATGTGAGACGAGGCTTTGTGTTATTTTCGGTCAGCAATGGCTTTCACCTTGGAACTCTCCCATGGATGCTGTTTTTGCCCAGTCTCTTTCTTATTGTTGAATCATGAACACTGAGCTTAATTGAGGCAAGTGAGGCCTGCAGTTCTTTAGATGTTGTTCTGGGTTCTTTTATGACCTCCTGGATGAGTCGTCGTTGCACTCTTGGAGTAATTTTGGTAGGC